AACACACCTAGACATATATATATACACACACACACACACACACACACATACATATACATATATACATACACACACACACACTCATCAGAATTTCATTTTTTAATGTGTGCCAGTGTGTTCACCGCCTGACTAGCAAAGTCAGTGGGAAAAGTTGGATTTGCTTAACAATTGCATTAATTCACTTAACAACCATGACAAAAAAAGATTATGTAATCAAGCATGACTCACTTAATGGCTGCCATGCTTAACTGAGGACTACCCTGTAATCCGATGTGAGAAACGAAGCAGCTTCAGGAAATAAAAAGCTAGTGACTTGGCAACCACACACACACACACACACAGAGGACCTCCCGGCTCCTGGCTCTAATGTTTCAGCCACACCGCTTCTTCCCAATCGCTGTGCGGCTTGTGCCAAAGTAAATTTCTTGAGCCGGCTGAAGTGGCTCAGCATCTGTGCATGAATTCATGCAACGCCGCAGGTTTTTCATCAAGTGCCACTAATAAAATCAGCACCTCCGATTCTTCCACGCGCAACATCCATCGCTGTTCCAGGTACTCCAGTATAAGAACCCGCTCAGGCAACCCTCAGAGGGATAATAGGAAAAACAAAACAAAACCAAAACCAAACCCAGACCTGGTGCCAGAATTTGACACGTTACACGCTTGTCAAGGGCCACCCACAAGAACCTCCCGTCTGAAGAGAAGCTCTAAGGAAGAGAGAGAGTTTGAAGAAGTGCGTGGATTGTCCATTTTTGGAAGCGGGTCTGAAGCTCACACATGCCCACTTTTCCTCCAAAGAGTTCCTCATAATATCAATGTCAGATTCCTGCTTTCGGAGATGAAGATGTGAGGTGAGCGTAGAAGTCTCAGAGAAACCTACGTTCTTTTGATAAATATTGACTGTTTCCTAGTATGATTGATTGCTGATTGTACCTATGACTATCATTAAGTGTTGTACCTTATGATTCTCGACTCTTGACGAATGTATTTTTTCTTTTATGTATACTGAGGGTATTTACACCAAGACAAATTCCTTGTGTGTTCAATCACACTTGGCCAATATTCTATTCTATTCTATTCTATTCTATTCTATTCTATTCTATTCTATTCTATTCTATTCTATTCTATTCTACTCTACTCTACTCTACTCTACTCTACTCTACTCTACTCTACTCTACTCTACTCTACTCTACTCTATTCTTTATTCCTATATTCCATTCCATTCCATTCTATTCTTCCCCAACTGGTATCCTCGTGTATGAGATAACCACAGTGATGGGATTCTACAGTGTGGTTCAGACCGGTTCGAACGAACTGGATGTTAAGTTTTCCTCTGGTTCGCTGAACCTGTATTTCAACCAACCAGCTGGCCCCGCCCACCCCACCCCTACCAAGAGTCTCCACATAGCCCATTTTCAATGCAGGTAAGTGTAGAGTCTGTGCGGAGGCTCTGGGAGGGGGGAAAACGGTCCTTCCGGAAGTCTGGAAACGAGCTTGTTTCGGGCTTCCAGTGGGCCTCTAGAGCCAGGGGGAGGCTGTTATCGTCCTCCAAGAGGCCTGGGGGAAGCCTCTGGACCCTTGGGAAGGTAAAAAATGGCCCTCCCACAACTTCTGGAAGGCCACGCCCACTATGGCCACACCCACCCAGCAACCGGACGGCAAACCGGTTGCTGGGATTTTTGAATCCCACCCCTGGATAACTTCCAACTCCCATAATCTCTGATGTCTGGAGAATTATGAGAGCAGAAGTCTAGGACAGCTGAAGGCAACCAGGCTGAGAAAGGATGTTGAGATGCGACACTACACGTTTAATCAGAGGCATTTCAAAGTTACAAGAGCCCAAGAACCTCTTTATCAAGCAGATGCGATAACGCTGAGAAGACGAAATCAGAATCTAACCATGAAAACATTTAAGACTTGTGGACTTCAACTCCCAGAATTCCCCAGCCAGCATGGAGAGGAAGAGCAAGACTTCCACAAGTCTTAAAGGTGCCGAGGGTAGGACACGCCTCTCATAGATGCAGGTTGTAGCTTTGAGCCAGTCTTCTTCCTCTGAGACAATCAGAAGAACCTCTGTTTTACATCTGGAGAACTTTCAAAGCTAGGACAGAAAGAGTTCCTAGAAGCAGACAGAACAACTGCAAATCAAGCAACAGAGAAGCTTGGAGAACCAGAGAAGGGAAAACCCTGCAGAAGTCATCTTACGCATAGGTGCAGAAAGCATTTTATGTTATTATCCGGTGTCTATTTTTCCTGTAATGCCTAAATATCACACAAGCCATACGGGCAACCTTATGATGCCACCGTGTCTTGTTATCTTCATGGAGTTAAGAATGGGCAGTGCTACCAGCATTCTGAATAGACCTTCTTCTCACTCAACCCCATATTTATCTTATCTATGGTTGGTGACATCCAGGCAGTTTCAGCATTAAGTGCTTCCTCTCTCCAATCCTTCTGACCTGGAATGGCTGTAATTAGAGTTACACCGCGGTTAGATCGGAGCCAATCATGGTAGAGTTTTAATTTGACCTATCGTTCCCACAACTCAGCACCTGGGCATCCCAGCCCATAAATTTGAAGGGTTTTGTTGTCATTAATGAAGAGTTGTGTGCTCCTTCGTGTTGTCAAACTGCAATCAGGTAGGTCACAGGTGAAGAATAAATTCTTCCAGAACAAGACCAATTACACCATTTACATTTCATTAGCTAACTTGTTAAAAAAAAAAAAACAGAGGTGGGTTTCCCACACTTTCCTGTCTAATAAACAACACAACGGTGGAATTAATAAGGCCGGTGACACATGCTTAATGGCCCTTTCCCAGGAATTTGCAGAGAGATTGCCGAAAGTTGTGCTGTCTCCCACCTCCGCCGTTTTCAAAATTAAGAGGAAAAACGTTTCTCAAGAACGCGGAAAGGTCAGTGAGGAGGAAAGTTAATATGCCACAAGCCATTCCGTCAACAGACACATCGACCAACAACCAGCCTATTAACCCGTCACAATTCAAGTCAACTGCACAGCCAACCAGTGACGGCACAGGCCTTCAGCCAACCCATGCAAACCCCCCAACCAACACTTCATCTTTTGATGACCCTCACCTGATCTTACCTTACCTCCCCCATCCCAAGACCCTCACTTGAAGCGACCCACACCTGACCCATCCCAAGACCCTCACTTGACATGATCTCCCCATCACAAGACCTTATATAACCACATGTAGTCCTTATAAGTAGAAGAACACCGGCATCCCCAAAACTCCGCTGAAAATGTTACCCAGTCTGGTAACAAAACATTCAGAAACCAACCCACGTGTTCGAAGAACGAACTTCCATTCTCAAAATTAATACTTCTGAATTTTTTTCACCAGCTAGGTGAAAAAGTCACCGTTTGTTTTGGCCCAGAGAGGTATCTCAGGAGAGCCACCAAATGGGGCACGATGGATTTCCCTGATCCTGGGAACAACAAAGGAGATTTCCAAAATATTGCAGAAGAACAGAAGATAGATATTTTGGGAGCATCGTATAATCTCCTCATTGAACCAAGACAGTTTGTAAAAAGATCAAAGGGAACAGGATGGTCCTGGCTTATGATACAATGGACCATAAATGAGGGCCATATCTACTTTTCAAGATTTTGTAACCCAATCTTTTCATTGCAACAAGTATGAAATATTCACAATGAGAATCTTGGTTGAGAAGGGCCTAACCCAACAGTTCAAAGCAAACCAGCTTCAGTGGATGTATTAACCATGGCTGGGGAATTCTGGGAGTTGAAGTCCCCAAGTCTTAAACATGCCAACGTTGGATGCCCCTGCCCCATGTCTGGCTGGGGAATTCTGGGAGTTGAAGTCTACAGGGCTTAAAGTTGCCAAGGTTGGACATCCCTGCTCCAGGGAGCCAGACATTACGCATAGAACAGAGAGCAAAATAGCAGTTTAGTTTTCCTAGTCAGGCAGGGAGCCAACCACTGTTGGCTGCAGAAGGTCTGCCACTTAAGAGCTATCTGGAATTGCAACTTTCAGCCTGGCTGAGAGCTCATTACTATCCCTTCTGCTGAAAGCAGGAGCAGCTGAACAGTATAACGCGTAAGTGCTCTTCAGAACTTTGTGTCCTCAAATCAGTTAGGAAGGAACTTGCTCGGTGACACATTTGAGCCTCTTCTTCTAAGCGAGAACTAAGCTTCAGTTCCTCACCTTCTTTTCTGCTTCATGCCAGGCATGGGTTACGTAGAGTTTGCTCTTCCCATCTGCTGCCACCAGAGAAGATGCATGGATTCATTTATTTTATAGAGAAGGTTGGCTGGCTGGCTTTCTCCTCCTTGTGACTCAAGACAGTTTACAACAATGAAGTGAAAGGTGTAATAAACACAAAACCAGCCATGTAGTCCTCATCGTGGGTGCTCTATTGATGGAGGTTTCGAAGAGACCAGACAGCCATGGCCTGGAAGGGTATAATAGGGTCTTCTGCTTGAGCAAGGGATTGGACTAGAACAGGGGCCTCTAACCTTGACAAATTTAAGCCTGGTGGACTTCAACTCCCAGAATTCTAGGAGTTAAAAGTCCTCCAGGCTTAAAGTTGCCAAGGTTGGAGACCCTGGATTAGAAGTCCTCCAAGGTGCCTTCCGTTCTATTATTCTGTTATGAAGAAAAGCCACCGGTCTGATTTCAAGAGTCCTGTTTTGTGTTAGAGAAGGAGAAAGTGGAGAAGGAAAGCAAAACAGGGATGGAGGGGGTGGGAAAACAGGAAGTGTATAAATAGCTTGAGAGAGGAGCCCCCCACTAGACCCCTGCCCGTTCTCCTAGGCAAGGCAATCACAAACCAGGTCAATCAGTGCCATCATGATGACATGAGAGACGGAGGGAAGGAGGGAGGGAGCCTGGCGAAGAGGAATGGCAAGATCTGACAGCATCTTGCTGTAGCTTTGGGGCTGAGCTCCCTCGTACTGAGCAGCTGGCTGGTTGCTCGTCTTTGGGGAGCTACTCCTCTGGGGGGGGGGGGGGGGGGATTCAGCATCTATCGATACAAGTCGGATCTCGCCTAATCCTTTCCTACCCTCACCGGATCCATTAATTGGTTTACGTACGGTGACAAAGAAGCCATAACTTCATTTTCTGTGGCTACTCATCTCATTTGGAGGGGGGAAAAGGAACCATTCCAGCTGGTGCAGAAGATTCCGTCCTTAGCTGGAGCCCCGCATTTAGCAAATAAATCTGCTTTCCATGACACATAACAGAGCTGGACAGTTCAGATCTCTCGTTGATTAATGAATCTCAATCAACCGTGGAGTCCAGACTAATGAGCTATGCATCACTGCGAGCTGGCGTGCCTCAGCGAAGCATGAGGGGATGGAGATTGAAATGGAGGCAGGGAAAATTGTTCTTTGGACAGCTCCAGCAAGGTTTTGTCTTCACGTAGACCACCTAACCGTTTGTCTCCTTGAATCTAAGATGGGCGGTTGCTATACCAACGGGACAGAATATTTGTAGCTCAGGGTTGAATTAGGGAGCCCTAAGTGCTCTCTGAGTTTGGTTGCTTTCTTGCAGATGTTTCAAGACCCAACTAGGTAACATCATCAGTGCT